AGCGCCGCCCCTGGAGCGCTCCGCGCGCCAGGGAGGGGAGTCCAGCGCGGATCCGAGAAATCCGCGCGGACCTCCGAGTTTTTATGTTTATGTCATTGTTCGTTCCCATAGGGAAGGGGGAAGCGAGGGAGGAGACGGAGCAGCAGCTGAGGGTATAGAGAGGGAGACAGGGGGAGGAGGACGAGGACCGGCTGCAGCCGGAGGAGCGGGAGGACGAGGAGGAGGGGGGCGCGTGAAGGAGAGAGAGGGGAGGGACGAGGAAGGGGAGGAGCTGGAGCAGCCTCACCCTTCTCATCTTCCTGCCACTGGAGGCGGGTCGTGTTGTCTGCGCCCTTTCCCCGCCCTCGCCCGCTGCCGCGGAGGAGGGCCCCCTCCCGGCGGAGACCCCTGCGAGCGAGGACGGCGAGGAGCTCCCCGAGCTGCACGAGGCGGGCTCGCCGCCAGCGCATGCTCTCCTACCGATGCTTCCGATGCTGTGGTGTTTGCTCTGTGCGGCCCGCCCCCCCCCAGTGATCCCTCGACTGGAGGGTTTCACCGAAGGGCTTAGGCGACCCGTCCTCCTCCTCCTCCTCCTCCTCCTCCTCCTCTTCCTCCTCCTCCTCCTCCTCCTCCTCATCCTCCTCCCTTTCCCTGCTCCGCCTCCTCCTCCTCCTCCGCCTCCTCCTCCTCCCTCTTCCTCCTCCTCCTCCTCCTCCTCCTGCTGCTCCTCCTCCTCCTCCTCCTCCTCCTCCTCCTCCTCCTCCTCCTCCTCCTCCTCCCCCTCCCCCTCCCCTCCCCCCTCTCCCCCTCCTCCTCTTCGTCTTCCTCCTCCTCCTCTTCCTCCTCCTCCTCCTCTTCCTCTTCCTTCTCCTTATCCTCCTCCTCCTCCTCTCCTCCTCCTCTTCCTCCTCCTCCTCCTCCTCCTCCTCCTCCTCCTCCTCCTCCTCCCCATTCCCCCTCCACCTTTCCTCCTCCTCCTCCTCGTTCTCCTCCTCCTCCTCCTCATTCTCCTCCTCGGGTCGCCTGCGGCCCCGGGGGAAACCGTGCACTCTTCGACCCCTTTTCCTGCTCTCGACCGTGACTGCGACCCTGCGCCAGAGTGACCACCTTGGTGTCGGGGGCACGTGGGAGGGGAGGTTGGCCCAGGGCGGGGTTACGGAGCGAACCAAGCTTGAGGGTGATGCTTCCCATCGCCAGGGGCCGTCCAGAGAGGTGGTTCTTCAAGCCTTTATCTGGCCCTTCTCCTCTTCCGCCTCCTCCTCCCCCGGCTCCTCCTGCTCCTTCTCCAGCTCCTCCTGCTCCTGCGTATCCTCCTCCTCGCCCTGCTCCTCCTCCCGTTCCTCCTCCAGTTCCTCCTCATCCTCCTTTTCCTCCTCCGGCTCCACTTCCTCCTCCAGCTTCACTTCCTCCTCCGGCTTCTCCACCTGCTCCTCCTCCTCCTCCTCCTCCTCCTCCATGTCTTTCTCCTCCTCCTTCTCCTCCGGCTCTTCAGTGGACATTAGTTCTCTAGGGTAGGTTCGAAAGCGTGCGTCGTTCAACAACCTCGCCGGCCCAACGGGCCAGATGCGTGCTGAAATCTCCGATGGCAGGTTTTGTCATTCTAGCTCGCGCGCGTGGGGCGACCCCTGGGCGTCCCCGTCCGAGAAGTACCCCGAGCGGTCCTCGAGCGGTCGGGGTCTCACCGACACTGGCATGCCCCAGGGGCGGTCTGGCAGGCCCCCTCAGCCAGGAGCGTTCCGGGAGACCCCGAGGGCGCCCCAAGAGGATATTCGAGTCGGGATCCATGGGTGGCAGGTTCCACGATGGCCTCCATCCACTTTCAAGAGGCTTCAAGATGGCCTCAAGTTTGTCAAATGCGGTTCCGGGGCGCCCCCACGAGGCCAACGCTCATTGCTGTTGCTCAGTGTGTTGAGAGATGTTGGCGTTACCGCCTTTTTCAGTCTTTCGACCGCCCAAGACGGCCCAATCAACCCAGCATAATGCCACATTTCAGGCCAAGAGGCACCCAGGACGGCCCAAGAGGTCCCCACGACAACCCCACAGGCCTCCCAAGAAGCTTCCAACCCCCTCAAGATTGTTGATTCATTGAGGGGGAACCCGAAATGAAATTTCGAACCCTTTCCCGACAGATGGCCAAGAGACCTCCCAGAGGCCCCCGAGAGGCCAACATTCATTGATGTTGGCTAGGGTTTTGACAGAGTTTGGCGTTACCGCCTTTTTCAATCTGTCGATCCCCCAATACGCCCCAATCAGCCATGATATGGCCACAGTTTGGGCCAGGAGTCCTCCGTCCTCCATCCAGGACGGCCCAAGAGGTCCCCAAGACAGCCCCAGAGGCCTCCCAAGAAGCCTCTAACGCCCCCAAGATGATTCGAAGAGGAGGTACCTGAAGTGAGACATCCAACCCTTTTCCTGACATGTGGCCAAGTCCTCCAAGAAGTCTCCGAGAGGCCCCCAGATGCCCCCAATATTCCCCCAAGAGGCCGCAAAGATGCTCCCCTAAAGCCTCACGCGGCTCCATAAATGCCCCCGCGAGCACGCAGGCAAGTGCCAACAATACTGCAATGAGCCCCTGCGAGGCTCCCAAGACGGCCAAAGAGGGCCTCAAGGGGAGTCCAAGAGGTGCTACGAGGGGGGACGCGGGCAGCCTTTCCAAGCCCTCTGCCCCGAGACGCCCATGGTTGCTGACGCAACGCTGCAAGGAAACTACCACCACCCATCAGCGCCGCAGTGGCAACGATCACGCGGGCAGACGCCCTCGATGGACCAGTCCGGGCTGGCAGCATTAGTGAAGCGATTACATTCGGCGGGCGCCCCTGCGGGCCCTGGCGAAAGGGAGCTTGATGGAGGACAGGGAGAAGCATGCATGAGGCATGCTACGAAGGGCTTCACACATTCCGCCGGTCCGAATAGGCCAACCTTCAGTATTTATCCGGTGGCACGTAAACGTACAACTCAAGTGCGACTTCAGGGCTAGGCCCATGTTTGTGACAGGTTCTGCGGCACGTGCAGATACGAGTGACATGCGCCCCCAAGGCTACGAAGGTCTCGATTCGGAGCACCCCCCGCGCATCCCCTTCTCCTATACTGCCTTGGGGCACGTAAAAATCCGTGCCATGTGCGCCCCCCGGCTACGACAGCTTCGATTCGTCATCCCCCTCACGCATTTCCTGCCCCATCCTCTCGGGGCACGTGCAAACACGTGTGATGGGCTCCCCCAGGGCAACGAAGGCTTCGAATCGGCACACCTTTCACGCATGTCCTGCCCCCAATCTCTCCTGGAACATGTGGAAATACGAGTGATCTGCGCTCCGAGGCCGTTCGACCCCCCACGGGACGCCAACGTGGCCCCAAGAAGCATTGCAACGATTGGTAGTCGAGCCAGTACCAGTGACGCCCTCGGATTGCAAAGTCTGCGTGCAAGCTTTTCCTTGGGGGCCCGCCGATGTGTACACTATGTCTCGGGCGATAGTTTGCATATAGTGTAGACCCATGCCAAAAAGCACCCTGCTTTCCTCCCGGGTGCCCTGTGTTTCTTGGGCTTCGATGGTTTTGCTATGGAATGCGTGACGTCACCAGACATCAGTGGACGTCCTGGGGTTTCAGGGTTGGCTTTCTTGTGGAAGGTTTCTTGTGGACTGGCCTCCACTGTACCCATGTGTATTTCGAAAACTTCTCAGACGGCCAGGGGACTTCTGAGCCTTCCGCGAAGGCCTTCTCCTCCTCATTTCCCCCCCTCGCTCGCCGCCATGTGCATGTATGCGCGGCCTCCACCTGGGGGCCTGGATCCTACGCGTCCTCCCCCCTGCTGGTGGCGCTCCCGTGGCTCGAGGGGCGGCTCCGCTCCTGGGCCGGCCTGCTGGGCAGCGGCCGCCCGGCCACCGCCCGCGCGGCCCGCCATGGGGCTCTCGAGGGACCTGCTGGAGTACGCGGAGAACATCTGGAGACGTTTCCCGGAGGCCCCTGCGGCCTCCAACGCCTCCCGGGGGGCAGCGTCAGGGAGGAGGAGAAGGAGGAGGAGGAGGAGGAGGAGGAGGAGCAGGAGGAGGAGGGAGGAGGGAGGAGGGGGAGGGGGGAGGAGGAGGAGGGAGGAGGAGGAGGGAGGGGAGGAGGTGGAGGAGGAGGGTCGTCCTCCTCCTCCTCCTCCTCCTCCTCCTCTCCTCCTCCTCCTCCTCCTCCTCCCTCCTCCTCCTCCTCCTCCTCCTCCTCCCTCCCCCCTCCCTCCTCCTCCTCCTCCTCCTCCTCCTCCCCTCCCTCCTCCTCCTCCTCCTCCCTCCTCCTCCTCCTCCTCCTCCCTCCCCCTCCTCCTCCTCCTCCTCCTCCTCCTCCTCCTCCTAAGGCCCAGGCCACCGGAGACATTTCCTGGTGGCTGGTTTTGTTTCTGGCAATTTTGTATCTTCCCCGCCAGATTCAGGGGCCTCGCGTGCCAGCCGCCAGCCTGGCGGCCCGCCGCAATTCCGTCCGACGGAGGGTGGCACAGGCGAGAGCGGCACCAGAGGTCCATCGACCGCACGCTGCTCCGCGTTGCCGCCGCTGCGTCTCGGCTCAGTCAACATCACTCGTCGCAGTCTCGGATGCAAGACAACTGGTTGTGTGAAATATGCGGTGGCGTCAATTCTTTTGCATCCAGTTTTTGTTCGACGTGCATGCCCGATCAGTCTCCGCAGATGCCCAGCGGTCGTGGCTTGGCCCCTCCTCGAGTGCCTGGCCAACAGCGTGGTCGACAGTTCCAGCCTCAGCAAATGATGTCCAGCCAAGCGCCGAGTTCGTGGCCGTCTTCTCAGCAGTCGATGGCGTACGGCATGGTCCGAGAACCGTGGGTGAGGAACGCCCAAGGAGCGGGTTCAGGAGGGTCACAATCGGCACAGCCTCAGGCAAGACGATCGTCAAGGGGGCCAAGGAGAGGACAGCAGAGGCAGGATCAAAGAGCGAGATCACCTTCCGTGACTTTCGCAGACGAGGAGGAGGATGGAGCTACGAATGTTTCTGCGCCGCTCAATATATTGCCAGCCCTCCCAGCTATGGCAGTGTATCATCATCGGTTTCCGCCTCTACCCGGCGAGAATGCGACAGAGTCCGATCGGAAGACGTACATCAGCAGGAGAAGGGCAGAAATGAAAGTTCTAGCCGCCACAATCCGAATGAAAGAAGAAGCTGGGGATGCCAGCGAGGACGAGAGAGACTGGTATGCAGTCTTGCTCACGGCCATCCACCTGTGCCGACCGTGGCATCAACAGCGAGAGCGACAAAGGGCGGCCCTTCAGAGGTCGCAGGCGAAGTTGGAAGCTCAAGAGCAGGAGATTCGAAACAAAGAGTCTGAGCTAGACGCATTGAGAGTCAAGCGGGACCAGTCCGATCAGTGGGTTTCGCGGCACCAGCAGGCGCTGATGGAGATCGAGGCCATGGAGCCCGTCGACGCCGAGCCGCTGGGAGAGCCAGGTATCATGGAGACCGACGATGCCAGCGAGGAGCCAGGCGGTGCGCCTGCGGCGGCCGCCGCGCCGCCCTCGGTGAGGGCGCCGCAGACGCAGCCCGCGCCAGCGCAGCCTGGGCTTCAGCCTGGTCAGGTGGTCGATCTGGCTCTGGTGCAGTCTCAGCTTGCGTCGATTTCTCAGAATTTGGTCATGTTCCAGCAGAGGATCGACAGCAACGTCAACAGCCTGGGCTCGCAGTTCAACATTTTGAACGCGAAGCACGAAGCGCTGCTTGCGGCCACCAGGACGCCGCCAAGTGGAGTGGTGCCGCCGCCGCAGTTCCTGATGCCCTCTGCCAGTGCACCTGGCCAATCGTCTACTTTTGCTTCCATCCCAGCGCCTGCTGCGGCGCCGCGGAGCCCAGGTGGCTCGACAGCGGCACCAAGCAGGCAGAGAGACAGCTCTCGGTCGCCAGTCAGGCGAGTTCGAGGGGAGGGCGAGGAGCCCGCAGAGGAAGACGCCGAGGATCCTCAGGGGTAACAGGACCAGCCACCCCGATCCCGTGCGATCTCAATGATTGCGATCCGGGTGGCAACCCTACCACTATAAGGTCACCGACTGTAGTATGCTCAGGCCTCTTGGAGGCGATTAAGGCACCCTGGTCGTGGGCACCTGCAAGGAGCTGGCAGGACATCGAGCGCTTCTTGCTTCCTTGCTCGCGTGCTTACCTTGCCTCTCTTGCTCCTCTCCCACCTGATCATCCCCACCTCTGTCGTGCCTTCATTTATTATGACGGGTCGGGAGGTGGTGGAGGGGTGCCACCCACCGTCTTGGGCTTTCGTCGTGCTTCTCTTGCATCCGTCAGGGTCCTGGCACTTTGGAGGGTTCTTTGCAGGCACCCTAGACCTGGATGCCATGTCAATTGCTCGTGCTTTTGCCAGCATGGCAGCAGAGGCCGTGGCAATGCTGTGGGCAGTAGCTTGGGCTGTCCAGGCAAAGTGTACTGATGCCAGCTTTCACGTTGACAATTTGTCTGTCGTCAGAGCTGCGTTTGGTTGCGGAGGGTTGCCAGACATTTCAGGCGTAGCCAGATGTTTGCGTTCCCTCGTTCTCTCGCTTCAACAGGTTGCGGCGACGTCTTTCCACCACGTGAAGGCTCACCTAGAGGACCCCCTCAATGGAATGGCTGATACCCTATGTGCATTGGCCGCCTTAAAAGTTGTGGAGCCCCCTCCGGTTTGCCCGTGGGAACGTTGGCTGGGGGAGCCACTCGCTGCTTCGTGGGCGTGGCTCGAATTGCTGGATATTGAGAAACGGCAGCAGTTCCCGTCGATTTGCCAAGGTGACTTTATTCTAGTTACCGATGCCCCCAGCTTTCGAGATGTTTGCCCGCCTCGTTCCGCCCCTCTCGGCCCTGACCATGATCTGCCGTTTTCTAGGTCCCCACAGCCTGGCGCAGCAGCTTCATTGTCCAGAGATGTCGTGCCGCATGCCAAGCTCTCGGTGCGAATGGCCTTTGCTAATATTCTGAGCCTGCGAGCTACAGGCAATGGCAAGAAAGCCCCTGTCGGTCTGTATGCAGCAGGGCGCCCACGCATGCTGGCGGCACAATTTGAAGCGGCTAAGTTGCAGGTTGTGTGCACGGCTGAGTCTAGAGTCCCCCGCCAAGGATGGACTGACATCGGGAACTTCCTGGTCCTACATGGGCCAGCCACCTCCCAGGGGTCCCATGGTTGCTCGCTCTGGTTGAGGAAAGGGGCCCCTCTGGTGCCGTCCTTGGCGGATAGCACGATCAAGAGACATCTTGTCACTGTTGCACTTGCTGAACCCACGATTTTGATTGCCAATGTTGCAGTTGGCTCGGTGTCTCTGTCGTTCATTGTTGGGCACGCACCGCACTCTAAGCACGACAAAGCGGATATCGCGGCATGGTGGAATAAGTTTTCTGGAGTGGTGGCTAAAACTCTTGAGGCCACCCCGTTTACCGTTTTACTTCTCGATGCTAACGCTACTGTTGGCAGTGTCCCCTCAGAGGCAGTAGGTCCTATTGCTAGGGAAAACGAGAACTACAACGGCGCATGCTTTCATAAGTGCATTAAGGATTGTGCGCTCATGCTTCCCGCTACGTTCTCTGGAGACCCGCAGGCTTCTAAGACGTGGACTCCTCCACAGGGACTTGTGGCCACGAGACGGATTGATTTCGCCGCCGTGCCAATGTCGTTGCGTTCTTTTGCTGTAGATCCTACAGTCAATAAAGCGGTCGAGCTTGCTATTGCCCGACCAGACCATGCGCTAGTGCAGTTAGACTTCAGAATGCCCATCCCGGACTTGAGGCCTTTCCAGGGGATCGTTTTCATCGAAGCCACGGCTGGATCGTGCTAAGCTGGCGGATGCTGCCATTCAGGAAGAATTCGCCAAATATATGGATCAGGCTCCCAAGCCACATTGGGCTGTCCCCCCGTCCAGGCACTGTGCTCAGGTCTCGGGGTATGCACGTCAGGGCATGGTTAGGTTTTTCGAGCTAGATCAGAGCCAGAAGGATACTGGACTCTCAAGGGACGCTCGCCTGCAAGTTGCCGCGTTGCACAGGATGCGTCGAGCGTTGTCCCAGATCAGGGGTCTGGCTGCACATGTGTGGGCTAGGCTTGTTCTGCTTGCGTGGAGGCATTCGTGTGCCATCCCGATCTGTGGCGGGTCCAGGTTTTCTGGTATTGATTCTGATTTTTTGGTCCCGTTTCTGGCGCATTCGGCTTCTGGAGGGCTGGCGAGCTTCGAGGTTGAAACCGTGTTCGTCTACGGGCAAACCAATCGGATGTTGTTGTATAGAGTCCTCACTGCCTGGAAAGACAGGATCGCGGCTCTCAGGGCAGCGAGACATGAGTCAGTCATGATAGGACGTGCCCACAGGGATGTGCATAATGTATGTGCAGATGCGGGACGTATTCTTAAGCAGGTCGCCTCTGTTGTAAAGGTCGCACTGCCTGCAAGGTGGAAGCTTCGATGCAGGTGCAAATGCAATCGCAGGCAGGCTGTGTCAGCAGATGCGGCGGCAGTCTCTTTTCTCATGTTCCCTCCAGGTGCACCTGGCCTCCCGTATGGAGGTGAGGCGATGGCAGTGTCGTTTCATTCCCTTTTGTGCCTGGCAAGGGCGCTTGCTATGCGTACCTCTGCGTTGCAATTTTGGTTGTTGATGCCGCAGGTGCAGCAAGTTCATAATATCATCAAGAGCGAAGCAAGTCGGAAGCTTCAGGACATTGCTAAATCCGCGGGGGACGCTTGGTCTGCTCGTGACTTTGCTTCTGCTTTTTCGGCCCTCCGGCTCTTGGGAGCCTCGGGGAAAAGACATAGGCAGCACAAGGTGTTGCCGGCCATCTTGGGACCTGACAATGAACTGCTGCCTACCGTAGTGCAGGCACACGACCATTGGCTGCAGCACTTCGCTGCCCAGGAACTTGCTGCATTGATGTCCCCCGACTTATTCGAAGCCATGTGTGTGGACAAGATGGGTGATTCGAATGGGGCCTCGAGGGACATCGTCAACATCCCAACGTTTGCTGAGTTTGAGAAAGCTCTTCGGTCCACGGGCAACGGTGCTGCAGGCCCTGATGGGCTTCACGGTTCATTTGTAAGAGCCTGTGCGGCTCCGCTCGCAAAAGCGTTCTACCCTCTCGTGTTCAAGGCAGCCATGCTTGTTAGTGAACCGATTCAATGGAAGGGGGGAGATTTACCGCATATCCCCAAAGGTAAAGGCAACCCGTTTGCGGCATCCTCATCTCGCTCCATTCTAGTTGCCTCACATATCGGTAAAAGATATCATGCGTGCTTGAGATCTCGGATGTTGCCAGCCGTGCAGGACGCTGTGGGAGCGACCCAATACGCTGCGATACCAGGTCGTGGCACAACCATGGCTATCTTGGCAGCTAGAGTGTTGCAGCGGATAGCGATTGCACGCAAGTTGTGTTCAGGTTTTTTGTTCGTGGATGTGGTCAGTGCCTTCTACACTGCCATACGCGAGCTAGTTATGGCCACAGACACTTCCAGGGATTCGCTTCGAAATTTGCTGGCTGGCGCGGGATTACCAGAGGCTTATTTGCCTCTGCTTGAGCGGCGGCTTCTGGATCTGCCGCTTCTTCGTCGCCACGGGCTGTCTGGGCACTTTGTCGGCATGGTTGAGGAGGCATTCCGACTTGGTTGGTTCCAGGTCCCTGGGGCCGAGCGGGTGGCGATCACCTTCCGTGGCACACGCCCGGGTACCCTTTTTGGGGACGCGGTTTTCATATTTATCATTGCGGAGGTCACAGCTAATGTGTCTAGGATGCTCCAGGAAGAAGGGCTTCTGCTTCAGATTGATTCCCCTACCGCGGGCCTCTACACTCCCCTCTCTCCTGACGACAAGGTTGACTTTCCAGGCCTAGTTTACGCCGATGATTCAGGTTTTGTATTGTTGGCACCGTTTGAAATTTTCTTGCCGGCCTTGCCTACCTTCTGCCGCATTGTGCTTAACGCATTTGCTCCAGTAGGTTTAGTTCCACACATGAAGGTTGGCAAAACAGAACTGCTCCTGGATGTTCGAGGGAGCGGAGCCGCTGATTTCAGGCGGGAGCTTTTTCGTGAGCCGTCCCCTTGCATTAAGGTCCCTGGGCTTGTTTGCGGGGGTGAAACTGTTTCGGTGGTTAGGTCTACGCTTTACCTCGGAAGCATGCTCGACGATAAAGCGTCGTTGGGCCCTGAGTTGGCCTATCGGGACCGTGAGGCGCCAGGTGCCATGCGAGCGCTACGTCGTGCTGTGGCCAAGGCGCCGGGTAAGGACATGTCTCCCAAGCTTCACCTGCTCGACGCGTTGTCAGTCAGCGCCGCGATGTACTCGGCAGGCACATGGTATGAAATGACCAAGGCGGAGACGCTCAGAGTGCAGACACAGTACATCCGTCGATATCGTGGGCTCCTTAGTTTGCCTAGGTTTGAAGCAGGTGGGCCAACGGATCTTGCCGTATTGGCCAGAGCGGCTCGACCGACCGTCAGTTCGATCATCCGAGTGTCCAGGCTGAGGCTCTTCGGCCAGATGTTGATATCTGCTCCTCGGCCTCTCCTCGCTCTGGTCAATGCGGAATTCGCTTACTCACCTAAGTCTTGGCTTCATACCATTCGAGATGATTTAATGTGGCTGCGAGCGTCGCATCACAAGGTTAAAGAATTTGCTCCCCCGAGTGCGGGCATGGACCCGTGGATGGATGAGATTCGCAGGTCGCCAGGAGGATGGAAAATATCCTTGCGCGCGGCCCTTCAGGCTTCAGTGTCGAGGCTGCAACGAGATGCGCAGGCCACGGAGTGGCAACAGCGCACACTGGCAATGCTGACAGCGGGGGGTTTACCTCCTCGACGGGACCTCCCTCCGCCTCGAGCCTCGGGCAAATGCCGCTGTCATTTTTGCCCGTGCGAATTCTCGGAGCTGCGTTCGATGGACGCGCGCATCAGGCGTGAGCATTTTACCTACACTGACCTCGCGCGTGTGCGCGTGGACTCTCCATGGTGTGCGTGCTGTTTAAAGGTGTGCGCCAGTCGAGCCTTGCTGCTGAGACACATCACGGCGTGGAAGCCCACGTGCCTGGTGTTCTACCTCAAACACGTTGCACCTTTACCGCAGCAGGCACGAGAGGAGCTAGCTGCCGAGGAGAAGGCTCAAAATCAGGAGCGTCGGCGCCTCGGGTATTCGGCCTCAAGAGGTCGGTTTCCTTCTTTCAGGGCGCCGGGGCCACTACCACTGACGGCTGTTGCTGTTCAGGCAAATTATCCTCGTGCAGCAGCTCAAAAGTTTATTGCCGACCAAGTCGAGCAGATCACTGGGTGGTCCAGGCGAGCTCTTGTGCCCCATGTTTTGGATGAGCCTGAGGTTGCCTGGGATCTTAATCCGTCGGAAATCGAGTGGCCGTTTGAGGCCGCTGCGTTTTCTGGAGTTTTGTGCGTTCAAATCCCGAAGCGCATTTTGCGCCGACAGGTGTTCGTTGCCAACCTGTTTTGTGGGCAGCGTAGACCTGGGGACGTACAGGAGGCCATCGAAGTGGCCATGACAAGATATACTCCGTCTTTTGAACTTGCTGTCCTGTCTGTTGACATCCTGCTGGATAAAGAGCTTGGCGATTTGCGCAAAAGAAGTTCTATTGAATGCTTTGCAGCACATATCAGAGCAGGGCGCATTGTCGCCTTGGGAGGGGGGCCCCCCTGTGAAACGTTTTGTGCAGCTCGGTGGAAAGAGGGGGGGGCCCCTCCACTCAGGTCTTGGCATGCTCCTTGGGGCGTGACAGAGCTCGCACCAAGACAGCAGTTGCAGGTTGCCGTGTCCAATGATCTGTTGCAGGCCATGGTGGAGCTAATGTGCATTATGGCAGTCTCGCAAGGGTGTGCGTGGATGGGGCATCCGTCCCCCCCGTCTTGGGAACCCCGTTCAGTCCCCTCGTGGAGTGCAATGCCGCTCAAGGCTCTCATGGCAGCACCGTGTTCTAGTTTTACTACGTTCGATCAATGCGAATTCGGTCAAATAGGTAGAGCCCCTACGGCCCTGTTAGGTATCAGGCTTTCTGAGCTCCCCACCTTGCTGCGCGACACCCCTGGAGGAGGATATTGCTCACGCGGGCCCAAAGCCCACGAAGCAATGGTTGGGTGGGACAGTGACCTCAAGAGATGGCGGACTGCGCCCAAGAAGGTTTACCCACCCGCTCTGTGCCAGGTCCTCGCCTCCTCCATGCTCAAAGCTTTGCTCCCCTCCCTCCTCGGGCAGTCCCCGGTCTTGGGCCAGGCCAATGAGGAGGCAGAGGTTCAGGAGCTCCACAGGTTTTTTGTTGATTCTAATAATATTGCGTTGAATGCCCCTTTCATGGGGCCCGACTTTGCAGGTGATACCAGGCCCCCTCGCCCACCCTCGGCGTTTGCTCGTATCTCGGCGACTCTTGAGGAGGAGGGCATTGCCCGTTTCCCCTCGGAGGAGGAGGAAATAGAAGGCACGCACTCAGTCGCGATGGCTCATCTCGATGCAGACGAGACCGCTGTCGCCGCTTTCGGAGCGTGCCCCCCTTGTTCTGTGCCTCCGCCTCCTCCGCCACCTCCTCTCGATCTCCCCCCTGATGTGGTAGCCAGGCTTGCCGCCAACAGAGCCGCCGCCCTGAGACGGCGTAGAGAGAGATCGGCCGAACGCAAGCGAGTACCTGTCCAGCTTGAAGGCCTGTTTAGCCCCCCTCCGCCTCCGCCTCCCCCGCCTGAGTCGGTCCAGACGGACCTTCACCGTTGGTTCTCGCTGGCGATTTCTAATGTGTGAATCGACAGAGCTGGTTTCTCGTGGTGGGGGGATGTGATATGTTGGAGGGGTTGGAGTTATGGGAAGGCTTTCGTCCCTTGTTCAAGTATATAGAGGTCCCGCCGTTTGAAGCGGACTGGTCAGTGTGCGTGTGGCCCGTATTTGCTGTGCCCTTGTATCCTCCATTACCTCGTGCTGGGGGTGGTGGGAAGATGATGGGGGGGGTGGGTCTCCTCCTCCCCCCGACGGCGTCGCGGCGGCGATGGCGGCCCCCCGCGCCCGCCGCGCCCGCCGCAGACGCGCCGCAGGCGCGACTTCGGATCCCTCCCCAGACCTTCTACGGCGTCTAGGCCGGGGAGGTGGAGGATAGGATGAGGTTTATGGCCTGGATCCTTCTTTTTGGCCCGTGGTATTATTTTACCCGCTAAACATGTGGCTTATTGCCCTTCTGAGTTTTTCTCTGCTGGCCCGCACTTGGGCCTCTGGGCTGTAGCTTTTGTGCTACACCCCCCCGGTAGCCTTCTTTCGAGGAGCTTTCGAGGACTGCCTGACCTGACCTGACCTGACCTCCTCCTCCTCCTCCTCCTCCTCCTCCTCCTCCTCCTCCTCCTCCCCCTCCTCCCCCTCCCCCTCCTCCTCCCCAGCAGTCAGGGGCTCGGTGGCCCACCCCGCCCACGGACTTGCGCGGATCTCTGGCGGGGAGCTCCGCCATCAGCCCACGGCCGAGCTCTCGGTGATGGCTCGCCCATGTCAGGGAGACGCTTCCCCCGCGGAGTTGGTACACACCAGCGTTGCCCCTCGGCTACGCTCGTCGTCTTCATCGTCGTCGTCGTCGTGACCATCGTCGCCGCTGCCCTCGCCCTCCACCTTCCGCGCCTTCCGCGCGGCAGGTGCCGCGCCGCGGCGGACGCCGCCGCCGCCGAAACCGTTGCTGCGGCCTCGGCGGAAGCCGCAATGGCGGCCGCGGCGGCGGCCGCCGCGGCGTGGAACCTGCCGCGCGGAAGGCGCGGAAGGTGGAGGGTGGGGGTGAGTTGGTACACCTTAGCGTTGTCCCTCAGCTACGCTCGTCGTCTTCATCGTCGTCGTCGTCGTCGTCACCATCGTCGCCGCTGCCTCCGTCGTGTGGCGTCGTCGTTGTCGTTGTAGCACGCGGCAAACATCTGGACGCACTTCCCAGAGGCCTGGCACGACGACGACGCTCATCGTCGTCGTCGGCGCCGGCGTCGGCGTCGTCGTGGTCGTGGTCGTCGTCGTCGTCGTCATTGCCGTCGCCGTCGTGGTCGCCAGAGGCGGAAGACAGATCGGGGCGCTTCCAGGAGATCCTACTCCACGAGGATGACGTTCGTCGTCGTTGTCGTCTTCATCACAGCCCCCGCCGTCGTTGTCGTCATGGGAGTTACGAGGCAATTCCTGGAGGTCGACTAAGACGGCACGATGTGTTGGCCTGATTGCGGTCGCAACGGAAGGATCCTCTAGGAATTATCGCCACAACGCACCCAATTTCTGCGAGGACTATCAGGGCGACGCCACCATCTGTGGCGTCGTCGTCGTCGTTATCGTCGCCGCCACCGTTGTGGTTGTCGGCGTCGTTTGTCGTGGGAGCACGCGGGGAACGTGCATGCAGGAAAGAGGTCTTGAAGGAACCTGGGTCCCAGAAGGCGGCTTCTCAGTGCTCGGGCCAGGGGGGGCCCTTTCCCAGGCCCCAGGGCCTCAGAGGACGACCCGGGCTGCAAAGCTGGTTGAAGTGATCAGGGAGAGGGGGGGGTAGCATGCAGAAGAACACAGGGCGGGGGAAGGCGTCCGATGCCCCAAGGGGGGGAGGATGGTGGAGGAGGAGGAGGAGGAGGAGGACGAAGGGGAGGAAGGAGACAGAGACAGTGGACAAGGAGGAGGCGGCGGCGGAGGAGGAGGAGGAGGGCTCTGGGATCCAGGAACCGTCTTCTGCCGTCGTCGCCGTCGCCACCGCTGCCGCCGTCGTTGCCGTCGGGGCACGCGGAGGCTCTCAGGAGGAGCCTGCCCGGAGCTCCTCCTCCTCCTCCTCCTGCTCCTTCCTCCTCCTCCTCCTCCTCATCCTCCTCCTCCTCGCTTCTCGCTCCTCGCTCCTTGCTCCTCCTCCTCCTCCTCATCATCGTCATCATCATCATCATCATCATCAGCATCATCATCAGCAGCATCATCATTATCATTATTATTATTACCATCATCAGCATCATCAGCAGCATCATCATCATCGTCGTCATCATCATCATCCGCACTCCTCCTCCTAATTATCCCTCCTCCTTCTCCCTTTTCCTCCTCCCTCCTCCTTCTCCTCCTCCTCCTCCTCCTTCTCCTCCTCCTCCTCCCTCCCTTCTCCTCCTTCCTCTCCTCCTCCTCCTCCTCCTCCTCCTCCTCCTCCTCTTCCTACTCCTCCTCCTCCTCCTCCTCCTCCTCCTCCTCCTCCTCCTTCTCCCTCCTCCCTCCTCCCTTTCCCTCCTCCCTCCGTCGTGGAGTCGACGCAGGACAGCCGCGGGGAGGGAGGGGCTTCGAGCTCGGTTTCGTAATCGCTCTCTTTAAGGCTTCAGCCTGTCTTTCATGCTCGCATTCCTCGCATTCCTCCTCCTCCTCCTCCTCATCCTCCCTCCTCCTCCTCCTCCTCCT